AATGATGTTAGGCTCAGGAATAGATTGTAAGGACTGATTTGGGACAGTGAGATGAAACGTGGGGATTACTGGGCCTCACTCTTTTCACCCTCCTAAGCCACCCTCTAAGATATAAACTTGCTTCATCTACTTATTTTTCTGAGTTTGTTTGAGTCAGATTCTCAATTCTTGGAGGCTGACCCTCCAATCCTTTTCATGTGCCTTCCTTTTCCTTTCTCTTGGAAGAGATGAAGAAAATTATAGATGCTAGAGAAAAAAAAAGAAAATCAGCTACACAAGGAGTGTAATTCTGAAATTTTAAGTCAGGTGGGTTCTCAAGGCAGATTAATTATTAAGTGCAAAAGTAAGTATACACAGAATGGTTAGGTCTCAGATACTATTTTGGTGTAATGTTACATTGGGTATGTTTGAAAAGAAGTAACTTCCCTTAATTACCTAAGTAATTACCCACTGCCAAGGTCTTTGAAAATATCAATATCTATATAAAGACAAAATAATTATCATAGGGAAAAATAACTTCAAGGAAATGGAACTATTTCCTGGAGAATATCAGCTTCTGTTTAGGAATGAAAAATCAGGAAAGTCCCAGATTAATTTTTTTCACATACACCAATGTTATCAAAATCTTTGTTAATTTTTGTAGGATGAGAGCCAAAATATGACCTTGATTATTCCCACCTGAATTTAGAGATCATCTGAAGAATAGATTTGATGCATTGAACACCAGTGACTGAAAAGCAGACAAATTGTGGGATGACATCAAGAACATCATACATGAAGAAAGCAAAAAGTCATTAAAAAGACTGGAAAGGAAGAAAAGACCAAAATGGATGTCAGAAGAGACTCTGAAACTTGCTCTTGAATGAAAGTAGCTAAAGCAAATGGAAAAATGACAAGACAAAAGAGCTGAACAGAAGATTTCAAAGAGCAACTTGAGAAGACAAAGTTATTATAACGAGATGTGCAAAGACCTGGAGTTAGAAACCCAAAAGGGAAGAACACACTCAGCATTTCTCCAGCTGAAAGAACAAAGAAAAAATTCAGGCCTTGAGTTGCAATATTGAAAAACTCTATGGGCAAAATGTTGACTGGTATAGGAAACATCAAAAGAAGATGGAAGGAATACACAGAGTCACTACACCAAAAAGAATTGATCAGTGTTCACCCATTTCTGGAGATGGCATATGATCAAGAACTGATGGTACTGAATGAAGAAGTCAAAGCTGCACTGAAGGAGCTAGCAAAAAAACAAGGCTCCAGGAATTGATGGACTACCCATTGAGATGTTTCAGCAAACAGATGCAGCGCTGGAGACACTCACTTGTCTGTGCCAAGGAATTTGGAAGACAGCTACCTGGCCAACTGACTGGAAGAGATCCATATTTGTACCAATCCAAAGAAAGATGATCCAACAGAATGTGGAAATTATCAAACAATATCATTGATATCACATGCAAGGAAAAAAATTTGCTGAAGGTAATTCAAAAACGGTTTCCAGAAATGCAAGCTGGATTCAGAAGAGGATGTAGAATGAGGGATATCATGGCTGATGTCAGATGGATCTTGGCTGAAAGCAAAGAACACCAGAAAGATGTTTACTTGTGTTTTATTGACTATGCAAAAGCATTCAGTTGGGTGGATCATAACAAATTATGGATAACATTGAAAAGAATGGGAATTCCAGAACACTTAATTGTGCTCATGAGGAACCTGTACATAGATCAGGAGGTTGTTGTTCGAACAGAGCAAGGGAATATTGCATGGTTTAAAATCAGGAGGGGAGTGCATCAGAGTTGTCCCCTTTCACCATACTTGCTCAATCTGTATGCTGAGCAAATAGTTCAAGAAGTTGGACTATAAGAAGAAGAATGTGGCATCAGGATTGGAGGAAGACTGTTAATAACCTGCAATATGTAGATGACACAGCCTTGTTTGCTGAAAGTGAAGATAACTTGAAGCACTTACTGATGAAGATCAAAGACTGTAGTCTTCAGTATGGATTACACCTCAACATAAAGAAAACAAAAATCCTCACAACCAGACCAATAAGCAACATCATGATAAATGGAGAAAAGATTGAAGTGGTGAAAGATTTGATATTACTTGGTTCCACAGTCACCACCAATGGAAGCAGCAGTCAAGAAATCAGATGACTTACTGCACTGGGGAAATCTGCTGCAAAAAAGACCTCTTTAAAGTGCTGAAGTGCAAAGATGTCTCTTTGAAGACTAAGGTATGCCTAACCCAAGCCATGGTATTTTCAGTCACCTCATGTGAAAGCTGGGCAATGAATAAGGAAGACTGAAGAAGAGCTGATGCTTTTGAGTTGTGGTGTTAGTAAAGAATATTGAAAGTGCCATGGACTGCCAGAATAACTAACAAATCTGTCTTGGAGGCAGTGCAGCCAGAATGCTTCTTGGAAGTGGAAATGGCCAGACTTTGTTTTTCCTAACTACTTTGGACATGTTGTCAGAAGGAACCATTCCCTGGAGAAGGGTCTCATGCTTAGTAAAGTGGAGGGTCAGTGAAAAAGTGGAAGACCCTCAACGAAATGCATTGACACGGTGGCTGCAACAATGGACTCAGGAGGGGAATGGAGGAGTATTAGATGGAGATTATGGCTTCTCCATTTGACAAGTGGAGGAAGAGAGGGTTTAGAGAATGAGTCACAGAAATGGTAGAGAATAAACCCAACAAATTATCAGATCACAGTACTGTGCAGAAAGAATGCACTAAACAGTGTCTTATCACCTCAAACCACACTCGCTGCCATTGAGTCATTTCCGACTCATAGCGACCCCCATTGGGTTTCCAAGGCTGTAAATCTTTATGGAAGTAGATCGCCCAGTCTTCCTTCCGTGGAGCAGCTGGAGGTCTTGTCTGTTAGAGGTGAGAAATAAACACACCTGCCCCTGGTTAGACTAGAGAAGGTCAAAGCACTTTTCTCACAATCCATGCAGTTCTGGAGATCCAGACCAAGGCCTTTCTCCTACTAAGTCACAGTTCAGCTCTGAGACAACTTTGAGGTTTTGAAGAGCCAGTATGTGTTTGAATCCTTCAGTGGTGAAATTCCAAAAATCTTGAAAATCATTTTGCCTTTTTTCTAAAAATGTTGAAGTAGTGGGTCTCTCCTAACATACCTGCTAGATAACTAGTGCATGTGCATAAAGATCTTCACTTCATGGCCTTTTTAAGAATTGGCTGCTCATGTGCCCTGAGAACCTGTACAATTATTTATTATTTAATATTATTGAATTTTTAGAAAGTTTTTTTGTCAATTGACTTGTTTCTTCCTGTACTGCCTGGTTATTTCCAGATTAAAGTCCCTTTTATTTTGTTCCTTGCCTGTTGCATTCCTCTGACTCTGGGGATACTGCTTCTGCCAAGAAGTATTAGCTGATAGCTTATGTAAAACAAAGATTATGTTTTCCAAAAGACTGCAGTTTCCTTGATACTCCCTACTCTGTGAGGGCTGCACTCTATTGTAATAGATCTTTTGTCCTTGTTTTAAAGATGAGGAAACTGAGGCTGGCTGTGGTTCAATAACAAGAATTACTTGACTAGAGAAGTCAGAATGTAAATCGGCTTTCCTGGCTTGAAGATTTCTCTACTAGAACATCCTTCTCTCCCTGATTTCAAGACCTATTTATTTTCTTTTGGACACTTTTAAAAAGTGTGTTAAGTCCTCTTTCATTCTACCCCAGAATGCTTTCCCTAGGACTGAATATAGTATTGTTGGTCTTCTGTTGTCTGACCAATACATAGTATACAAAGACTCCACCACACTCTGAATACTTAACTGTATTTCTGTTAGAACAGTCTGGAATGCTCTTTGTATTTCAGTAATCTTCACTCTGTTGGCTCATACTAAGCTTATGGTCTACTGCTTAAACAGGTGACTCTAGAGATTAAAACAGATAATGCTTATGAAGGAGTTAATATCTAGGACCATAAGTGTTTGGTCTTAATTTTGTTATAAACATCACTAAAAATTTCCCTGTGCTGTTGTCACACCAGGTCTCAGTGCAGATCAGTGGTAGAGCAGGGAATAACCTGCCCATTGTCATCAAGTTGATTCTGACTCATAGTGACTCCCATTGAGTTTCCAAAGCAGTAAATCTTTACAGAGATAGATTGCCCCGTCTTTCTTCTGTGGAGTGGTTGGTTGGTGTGAACCACTAACTTTCTGGTTAGCAGTAAAATGCCTTAGGCACTGTGCCACCAGAGTTCCTCGAGCAGGGAATAGACTTCTGAAATTCTGAACTGAATCTGATGTGACTTTGTGAGAGGAGACTGAGACCAGAGAGTTTAAGCAGTTTTTTTTTTGAAAACAGATAGTCAGTTATTCATAACTGTGTAATTAATCCATTAAGTTAGTAATTAAGTCCATTGACAAATACTACTATATTTCTGTTACTAATGAGTAGGAATGAGAGAGAGAGGGGAGAAAGGTCTCCTTTACTTTGTTGTTTTCCTTTGTTTATTTATGTGTCTTGATAAATTAGGAGAGAGGAACCAAGATTTTAACCAAGTCATATCATTTTAACCAAGTAATGTCAAATTCCTAGCACTGGATGAGTTTTACCAATGACCTAACATAGTTTTTTTTAACAGATCACGTTCTTACCACAGTTGACCATACTTCAGCTTAAGATAAAAGTCAAGAGAACAATGTCCACATGTGAATCTAGGTCCTTAAAGGCAGGGACCCTGTCTTCATTTGTATTTGTACCCCCAGCACCTAGTACAGTTTCTGGCAAAGAAAGGTACTAAATAGACATTTTCTGAGTAAGCAGATAAATGCTCAGTGTAACACTGCTTCACCTGATTCCTCACTATTTCCTGCCAATCTGCCCGTCTCTCCTTTGCCCGTGCTATAGGAAGGGCTAAGCACTTTGGCTGTTTTGAAATAAAAACATCATCTCAGAATCCCCTTGCTTTTGGTGTTCAGAAATGTACTTCGAAGCCCTCAAATATACTTCTGGGTTCTTTGTGGAGAGATGTCTAAACCTGGTGCTTCTTCATTTCAGTCTTTGGTCTCACCTGCTTCTCATAACTGTTTGGCTTTTATGTCTGCACAGGAGTGTACCTGGGTGCATATGCTGCTGGGTCTGATGAACCTAGCCCAGACGGCCTCACTTCCACCTCCTTGCTGGACCTCCTGCTGCCCACTGGCCTGGAGCCACTGGACTCAGAGGAGCCCAGTGAGGCCATGGGACTAGGAGCTGGCCTTGGAGCCCCTGGCTCCGGCTTCCCTAGTGAAGACAGTGAGGAGTCCCGGATTCTGCAGCCACCACAGTACTTCTGGGAAGAGGAGGAAGAGTTGAATGACTCAAGCCTGGACTTAGGACCTACTGCAGGTAGCTCTTCTTACCTAAAGAGTGTGTGTTGATTGCCAACTGAGTGTGAGACAGTCTAGATAGAATACCAAATGACCATTTCCATGACTGGAATCAACTCCTTGCCTCTCTCCACCAGTTGTTGCCATGTTCACCTGCACATCAAAGCCAAGTCTCTGGGACTTACTGGCCCAGGAAGCCTTTTTCCCTTTAATATTAACTACTATTTAGTGAGTGCTTACTCTGCTCATGTAATTTAATATAATACTTATAATCTATGAGATAAGTATATTACCACCATTTTAAACGTGAGAAAACCAAGATTTAGAGAGGTTAAAAAGCTTGCCTAAGGTCACGCAGCTGTTAAGATGTTCAGTCAGGAGTGAAACATAAGTCTTTCCAAGGTCTAGGTTTTTTGTTGTTGTTGTTTGTTTGTTTTCTGTTGTGCTGTACTATTTCTGTTGAAGATTCCCAAGGGGTTGGCAGATTCTGTGCTCCCTTTTGGGTCTATCTGATCTCTGGTCAGGGCATTCTAGTTATCTTTTCCTCAGTGATACACCAGAGCTGGTTTCTGGTTTACAGTGCATGTTTTCCTTAATGGCTGCTGTTGGACATCTGTGTCCTAAAGGAAGTCTGATGAGGCTTAGGACTCAGCCAAAATGCATGCGGCCATGGGGCTGATTACAGATGCAACAGAGCATGGTCGTGATGCTTCTGGCCACAGCAGCTGTGCACATGTTCTTGGCTAGCGGGAGCTTATTTTTAATTGTTGGATTCTTGAATTGCTGTGTGTGTGTGCACGCATGGGGGCAGAGTATTACAGAATTTTCAAATTTTTTTTTAACAAATATTTATTGGATTTGTTTTTTCTAAATAAAAAAAATACATGAATATTGTAGAAAATCTGAAAAATACAAAAATAGTACAAGGAAGAAAATAAAAACCACCCATAATCTGATGATGGAAAATTTGGCAGTGATTATTGGTGATGATTGCACACATGATTAATGTAATTGATGTTACTAAATTGTATGCATGAAAAATGTTGAATTGGCAAATATTATATATACATTTACAGTAAAAAGATAATTACTCATAATCTCAAACTAAAAGATAATAATTAATATTTTGGAGTATATCCTTCTAGTCATTTTATATGCAAAATTGGATCATACTTTTAACCTATTGCTGTCAAATTGATTCCAACTCATAGCGGAATGGATGAAGTAGCACTGCCCCACAGGTTTCCAAGGCTGTAAATCTTTATGGAAGCAGAATGCCACATCTTCTGCAGAGCAGCTGGTGGGTTCAAACCACTGACCTTTTGGTTAGTAGCCTAGTGCTTTAACCACTGTGCAACCAGTGGTCCTTTGAATCATACTGGACATAATATTTTCACTTAAAATATTTTATAAATATATTCCACATCATTAAATATTCTTTTGTAACCTGATTTTTAATGACTACATATGTCATCATGTGGATCCTCATTATATTAAACCTAGGTTGTTTCTGATTTTAATGCTTTTACAAATATCCTTATACATTTTTGTACTTTTCTGATTGTTTCCTTAGAATAAATTTCTAGAATAAAATCGCTAGGTTAAAAGTCAACAGCCCACGCAGAAACAGAAGACTTAATCAAATTAATAAATGCAAAAAGGGTTTATTTATAAAGCAGTTAATTTACAATGATATGGTCAGGGTTTGTACAAAACACAAAGGAATCCAGGGTATCAGGATCTGAGCTCTCATGACTCATAGGCCCAAAAAGACAACCAAAAAAAAAAACAAACTTACTGCCATCGAGTCACTTCTGACTCATAGTGACCACCTTTGGGTTTCCAAAGGGGTAAATCTTTGCAGAAGTAGATTGCCCAATCTTTCTTCCATGGAGTGGCTTGTGAGTTTGAACCACCAACCTTCTGGTTAGCAGTCAGGTCCCTTAGGCACTACACCACCAGAGCTCCTTAAAAGGACAGCCAAACCAAACCAAACTCACTACCATAGAGTCAGATCCAACTCATAGCAACACCTCCTTGGGTTTCTGAGGCAGTATCACTACAGAAGTAGATTGCCCAATCTTCCTTCTGAGGAGTGGCTGGTGGGTTTGAACCGCCAGCCTTCTGGTTAGGCACTGCCTTAGGCACTATGCCACCAGAGCTCCCTAAAAGGACAACAGGAGGGACAAATTGAAGGAGCCCTCTCCTCTCCTTAGCTTCTGGCAGGGCTCCCATTCATTGACCATGGTTCCCCTTTGTTATCCTTTCCTTTTGTCTCTTGTGGAGGAGCCCTGTCAGAAACCAGAGGGCATAGGAGGCTGTTGATGTGATTCATATGGGGCAGAGAGCAGGGTAGAAGAGGATAGAAAGTAAATTTGGAGGGACAAATGGAGGTGTCTGGCACAAAGGATATGAATCTTTCTAAAGGCTTTTGTTAAATATTTCTAAGTTATACTCCAAAAGGATTGTTCCAGTTTGCATACCCACCACAGGTGGAATGAATGCCATTTTTTTTGGAACCTTTCCTAACACTGAATTTTTGCATTTAAAAATCTTTATCAATTTTGTGCATAAAATTATAATGGACTTTGAATACTACTAACGTTTAACAAGTTCTTTTGTTTTTTGAGTTAGGCATGTTCTAAAATTCCAGCTCTCCCATTTAACAGCTACATGATTTTGGCAAGTAATTTAACCTAAGCCTCAGTTTTTTTGTGTAGGAAATGGGTATAGTAATAGTACCTACCACATAGGGTTATGAGATTTAAATGCAATAATTCATTTAAAGCACTTAGCACAGTGCCTTGCACATGATGAGTGATCTGTAAACATTAGCTATTATTATTATTATATCTTTTGCTATCGAATTTTTTAATTTTTTCTTCTTTTATACATCTTCATATTAGAAGATATGAACCTTTTCTCTGACATACATATTTTAATATTTTTCACATTTTTATCATTTTTTCTGGTTTGTCAATTACTTTGATTTTTTAAAAAACTAATTAAAAAAACTAATTAATTAACTTTTTATTGTGATTTGGGTAAAAATTTACAGAGCAAATTCATTTTCCATTCAACAGTTCATACACATTTTGTTTTATGACATTGATTGTGTTATGACATTGATCCCCATAATGTAACAGCTCTCTTTCCACTTCCTCCCTGTGGTTACCTTTTCCCTGTGTCCTTCTTTCCTATGCATTCCTGCCTTCTGAGCTATCTCCCTGTGCAAATAATTATTTTGATTCTTATTATAGTAGTTTTTGACTTTAATCAATTTTTATTAACCTAAAACTATCTTTTAAAATATTTTTCATGTTTTTTCTCCCTTTGCTTTATATTTAGAAAAAAAACCTTTCCCATCCTGACAAATATGTACCTGTATTTTTTCTGCCTTTCTGTAGCTTCATAGTTTACATTTAACTCTTTATTCTGGCTGTAATCTATTTTGGCACATGGTGTGAAATAAGGATGTAATTTCACTTTTCCCATACATACTTAACCTATTGCCGAAGTAGTATTCATTGATAAATGTACTGAGGCCTATTTCTGGGCTTTTCCTTTTGTGTCCAGACTGTTGAGATGCTGTCTAATATAAGCATTCACTCAGAGACTGGACATTGCTTAAGATCACAGTAGAATGGCAGTAAGTTTTGTTAGCTCAGATTTGTTTTTGTCTTCTTTTTCTCTCACTTCTTGTGTCTCTTCTTCTCACTGTGGCTTCTCTAGATCTCATTATAAGGAAAATTGTTATTGTTCATTGAATAAAACTATGTAATAAGCACTTCGCATATGTTATTCTTACTACAACTCCATGAGGTAGGTCTGTTGCCTCCTCTCTGATATACATACCTGAATGACTTTGAGGTGAGAATAGTGAATGTCGAACAAGGGAATAAGAGGTACAGGGGAGGTATTAGGAAGAGAGCTGCTTTTGTCTAGGACAGTTTTTCCCTACTGTTAGCTTCCACCCCTTTCTTCTGAGCTTCTTAACATTCTTTCTGTATGTTGTTTTAATGTGAAAGAGCAAATTATAATGTTTTTACAAAAAATAAGGTAATTCTTTAAAGTTGGCAAGTCCTTGAAACACAACTCAAACAGGCTAATGTAAAATTAAGAGGAATTTATTAGCTCAGTAAGTGAAAAGTCCTGGGAGAAGTTGCCAGCTATGGGCATGGCCCTATCCAAGTATTCAATGTGTCTGAACCTACCTTGCTCCATCTTGCTTTGCTTTCCCTTGGTTAGCTTCATTCTTAGGCAAGACTGTTACTGTGTAGTGGCATGGATATACACCAGTAACTCTAGTTTCATATTCCTTTTATCTTAGCAATTTTAGCAGATACAGAGCTTTGCTTTCCCATTGCTTTCAGGAAAAGTCCCAAAATTGAGACTCGTTAGTCATTAGTCAAGACCCACTCTTGAGCCCATCTCTGAACCAGTCACTAAGGCCATGGGGATGGAATTCTCTGATTCTCCAGGAGTGGGTCTTGAGGGTCTTCCACACATACTCTGAAGCCAGGGGTTAAGGCCCCATACTCCTGGACCCAAGAAGAGGCAGGAATGTCCCCCAGAAGAATTAGTGGGTTATAACAGAAAGAGAAGGATAAGATGATAGGTGTCATAAACACCATGGCACTTGAGTGAGAGCAGTAACTCATTCATAAAGTGCTTAAATTTATAAGTCATTTTTGCATGTTTTTTTTCCAGATCTATAAAAGTAAGCATGATTATTATCTATATTTTGTAGCTGAGGAAACATTTAATAGTGGCACTAAATTACACTAAGATTTAAAGTAGCAGAGCTGGATCTCAGGTGTAAGATTTCTAGTTCAAGATCTGGTGTTCTTTCTTGATAATGAAATCATGCATAAGACTATTTAATTTTATTGCCTGAATTGAATTTTGTAGATACCAAATCATTAAGCATCTGTCTGCTGGGATATGGAAATGGTTTCCATACAGCAAATCCTTGTTGAGATTATATCTGTTGTAGAATGATTTGCCCTCACGAATCTC